AAGGAACGTGATGAGATGCAGTTAAGTCAAATTACTAGTATTACTTTTCACCTAACACATGCTGGGAAGTAAGTAGCTTTCTTTCCTTCTTTTTTTTTTTTTTTCCTTTTTTTTTTTTTTATCCTGACCAGTGTGGATTGCAGTGTGGATGAACAAGACATTCGTCTTGCTGACACATCTTGTTCCAGCTGTTGCTGTGACAAATTGTCTTCGCTGGGGCGCAGCTGAAGTGCTGCGGAGCTGCCAGAACTGACTACTGTAATCTGGAGCTTGCTCCTGTTGTGTACGAAGTGCTATTTCGAGGACATCTTTAAATCAAAATCAAAGCAAGTGTTGCAAAACTCTCCTAACCATAAATGACTTGAGCAGAGAGCGCTACCACTGGAGGGACAAACAGATGCATGTGGTGCGTAGGCCTTAGAAATCTTCCAAATCTGYTTGGCTTCTTAGAAGTTATGCATCAAAAGTCTTGCCAAAGCCTGTAAGAAAGGAATATTTCTTTTTCTGGGGACGATTTGACTCCTGAAACAACACGCAATTTTCAGTGTCCATCAATAAAACCCATTGTTTAGGAGATGGTCTCTATATTTTGTGATTATTCCTGTGCTGTTCCACTAATGGCCGTTTAGGATTATACTATCAGATTTCATATGTTTTGGCAGTGGTGGAGCAAATAATTCAACCATGATGAGGATGATATGTGATATTAAAGGCATCCACATGCTGCTCACTATCAACTCACCGGTTTTCTCCTCGTACGTAAGAGGAGCAGAAAGACCATGTCTCTACTTGGTATGATTTATTATTGTCATCTTGAACCAACAAGAGCTTACCAAGGTGCTCCATCCTCATGATGGCTTTAATGCTGTTGTTGCCCCTGGTTTGGTCCTTGTCCAATTGAATGACCTTACCACTCTTAGTAAACTGAATTCTGCTTTTATTCAACAATACATGAGGAAAAACATCCTTTGGCTTACAGAATAAGAGCATAGGATCAAAGGGGAAAGCCTGTTTTCCAGAGACGACTTTCATCGTTACAAATTCTATTTTTCCTCCCCATAAATTTGGATAAAGTTGATAAAGGCGTGGAGTTTTGATCCTAAACATGTGAAAACTGAATGGCTTGCAAATTATTGAGATTCACTTTCCCTCTCCGCTCCAAAAAATTGCAAACTCCTTTTGAAAGAGTTCGGGAGGAATTAAGACATTCTCAGTTTCCAATTCCTCTTCCATCCTGCTGGGCCTAAGAGACTTCATGAAGGGTCGTGTGTCTTTTCATGCATTCGGCGAAGTGAGAACTCTGAGAAGTGACAAACACTTCAGAACACAGAGTTGAAAAGTGGGATGGGGGTGAAGTGGGAATTTATCCAGCTACCTTCTCTTTTTGGAGAGTATTGAGTAATGGTAGACTCAAAATGGAAATGATCTTTGCATAATAATAGAAGCTTAATATGTGGAACTGTAGGACTGCCTTAGCAAGTACCTGATGGTTCTTGGTATGCACAAGTTTTGCCTGATAATAAATCAGTGCARTTTTGTACTTTTTCTCCATGTGTTTTTTTTCTTCCTTGAGCCATCTAGTGCAGGAGGATTGAATGCTATTTTTGTGAGTAGTGTTTATCTTTATTTATTTMGTTCCTTTGCTTGTGCACAAGGCAGTTGGAGAGCATTTCTGTCTAGTTTGAATGCTACTGTAGTTCTCTGGCTTCTTCTCCACTTTTCTTGCACTCCCTCAATTTACAGCAAAGCTCAGTCTCCSGGCATTAACATAAAGCTCATATATTTAGCTTTGAATAGTAACAAAACCCTCCACAGATGAAATTCTCTCTGGGTATAAATGGTTTGCCCCACAGATGTATGGACACAAGCGAGAGGGGTTCTCATTGCCTAAACATGTGCCCAGAGAGTCCGTGTGACAGTCATTTACACAGTGTTTGGGCCATTAATAATCAGCAGCAGCTCTTCTGACTTCCGCCTGACTATCTGCAATGACTTCATACTTCTATGGCAAAGAGGAATTTAAGTTAATTTGTTGGATATTTAGTGTTTGGACTTGATCCAAAACCCTATTAACATTAGTAAGAGGAGCTGGTCATTTCTGCTGAAATACAGCAGTGGAATGAAGTGGCAAAACATATACAATTGTGTTTAATATGCTCTATAGGTAAGGATGGCAGTTCTGTGCGCATGCACATTCAACTGGAAGAAGAGAAGGGCTGATATGGGGAGAGGTGCTAAGAAGTGAAGGATATGGGGGAAACTCCTCCTTGTTTTAAGTGGAATGGGCAAGACCTCCTGCTGGATGAGTGGTTCTGGTGGTACTTGTTGGCTCATGAAGAGATGGACCCTGGAATGGGCAGCGGTAACCTGGACAATTAATCTGGCCTTCAGCTTCTCTGTCTCCTCCTCCTCCCTCCCACCTTTCTGTAAAGAGCTGGTAGCAGCAGAGCAGGGTTCAAACGTCCCAGGGGAGCCTGCAAGGTGTGAGTGGGACATTGCTGGGTTAGATCAGAAGTTTGTTAGTACCTCCTTCTGTGCCATTGAACTTTAAAGCAATTAGGACTTTAAGGCTAAGTGCATAAAGATGCTGGTGGAATTAGGACAAAAACTCCTTTATAACTGTTTACTCGTAGTGATAAAACACTGGTGTCAAACTTCCAAACATATATTTTTAATCAAAAATATATTTTTAATCACAGGGGGTACACCAAGCAACTTTGACGTGGTTGTAGCAATCCCTGTATTTTTCATCTGATCAACCACACGAGGGCAACCTGAGCATGAGCACATGAAAGAAGAAGGGTCAGGAAGCAAGCGGGTGATRTAAAACCCAACCTGCAATTCCTGCAGGGTTTCTGTGAGTCACCCTGGGACTCCAGAACCTGTAGGAAAGGCMTAAGTGCTTGGAGGAAAGCAGCAAGAGCTGACCTTCAACATCTTGGAAGAGAAAAAGCAAACACAAAAGGTTTATGCTTTTCAGAGAACTTTTTGTTCGGTGCCTGGCCCCAAGCTGGTGAATGATATAAGTACAAATACGTTCAATAATATAGAAAACACTAGTGATTGAAAGGAAGCAGGTCAGGTGATGTTATGACAACAGCCGCTATATCCATCTTACATGTAAATGAAATACTCTTTCTTCACTCAATTTATTTTTTTCCCCTAATTTTGCTGTTTTAATTTTAGCTTAYCATTTTCCTTAACTCTTCCATTTTTCTCTCCTGAAGAAAACGGTGGCTCCGTTTTGTAAGCAATTCTTCGTTTCTTTACGAATGACAGAAGTGCCTCTTAGGTACGAGCTCCGGCTTTGGTGTATTTATTTACTCACCTGACCACTAGGTGGGAGCAATGTGTATAAGGTCCCAGCTGCAGCTGTAGGACCAAGGCTGGGACCTGCCAGGAGAACCCAGGGGCCTGGGCRTATGAGTGSGGRAAGAGCATAGGGCRCTCCTGAAGACCATAACACAGCAAAACRTGTTAGTGTTAGTAGCATTCTGCCTCTCTCTCTCTTTTTTTTCTGKTTTTTTTTTGGCAATAAGAAGACAAATTGAGTGCAACCCTTGACTGGTGTGCATTAGTTGGCAGYATAGATGTAGCTCCTGGTAGTAACAGACCTCTGCGTGACTGCTGGCCTGCATGAACCTTGACAGCATCCTTAAGCAGATGTGGGTGCCGGCTAGACACCCTTCCATGCTCTTCTTTAAATGCACACAACCCCAAGACTTGTCTTTGATCTATATGTGTCCCATTTTGGGACATGGCATTTGATTTCAACAARAGGGCAAAGACAACCATGTTTTGTTTTCACAGAGCTTCGAGTAGGCTACCATGCGTTGTTTCAAGATGCAACTCAGCCACACGAGAGCGAAAACCATTAATGAACTTAATAAGCGGTCTCCTCATATCTTAATTATWTGTGTGACTTTCCCTTTGACCTTTCTCCATGGGCATCTATTTGATGCATTCATGCGCAGAGATGTTTTGCACAGAGGGAGGAAAAAATGTTCACCTGTTCAAAAAGCTGCCACCAGGACAAAGATACAAGCAAAGCTTCTTTCTCTCATCGCCGCATTATTTTCCTGAACACACTGTAATTTCATCAATTTTCCATGCTTATGGTCATGAATGCTTGACATTACCATGTCTTTGCGTTAACAAAAAAGAAATTTCATGGCTTAAGTTTTCACTAGAAGAATAGGGAGAGCGTGAAAAGGCAGCCAAAATACGGAGTGTTACAGTGTCCTTTGTTGAGCAGCAAGATTTTCTTGGGGAGAAATCTGCACTGTACGTTTTGGGTTGTTAATTAATTATATGTTTGCAGTACATTCAAAGTTACACAGCTTTCTTCTGTTTGGACTGTGTGCTAGTTTTTCTCGAGGTGGCTGTATATTGGGCCAGGGTATTGATGGAGTAAAATGTAAATTGTATGCATTTTTTGAGCTTTTGGGTATTGGAAGGCACAAAACAATTTGAAGAGGGAGAGCTTCAATCATGTTAAATGTCATGTTAAGCTGTGCTGGTTTGTGCTAGGCAATGATTTAACTCAAAACATTTAGAGGTTATAGTTTTTCTGGGTATATTATGTGGACTGTTTGCAAATGCAATCCTAACACACGGACTAGAGCAACTTTGACTTCTCCTTACTTCAGAATGTTGTTTTCTTGCTCCAGGTAGACGTTGTTAGGACTAAAGCCAGCAATAAGTAACTGGGTGKTTTTGAGAGGCCATAGAAAACTTCTGACTTCTTTAAATCAAGCAAAAAGCCCTCAATCGTCATCTTTGCTGATTTGTGACACAGAAGTGATGATGACTCAGTCAAAGTTGTTATTGCAAAGTTATCACATGGAGATCCCTATGGCTCTGCGGAGAGAGTAAATGACATTTTTTCTTCCTGCTTCGTATTTTATTTTTTCTCAGGTGTGAGAAATATTAGCTAAAATAATATAAATGACTGTAGGTGGGGAATCTGTGGGTGCAAAACCTGTGAGATCAGGTGCCTTCATTTGATCTTGCACCTGTGCACAATTGTCCTCCCTTGCTCCATTCCCACCCACTGAGCAAGCTGAAGGACACATTAGATGACTGCTAGGTGTCCTAGTTAATGAGGTTGGGGTTGATTTATGTAATTCTTCTAACTCCTGATTGTAATGCTGAACATTTCTGCATAAGAGGAGCAGGAAGGGCTTCTGAGACAACTGTGTGGACCCATGAAGTTACGAGGCAGAGACGGCTACTCCTTCGCCTGGTATGTGCCCGTACTGGGTGGTTCTTCCCATRGAATATTTCCAGTTGAGACTGGAACAAATGGAGCGGGCTGCTTTTTCAGCTATACTAGTGTGCATGAGGAGTCACCTCCGCCAAGCCAGCACTTCCTAAAGCACAAAGCTGGCATAAGCAAAAGCAAYGCGGGACCAAACAGATGTCTCCTGAAGGAAGGCCTGAGCTACCAAGGTGCATCGCAGTTTTACTCTCCATGAAATTAAGTGAGATCAGATTCCCATATTCATTCCTCTAGATTGAACCTTGCATACTTGACCTTAGTTTGCATGCTGTTTTCTCCTTTTCAGGATCTTTCCAGTACCCTGCAAAAAGGCCAATGGAAAGCATAAACTGCCCGGATTCTGGTGCTTTGCTAATAAGAACATGGCCAAAATATTTTTGGATGAGCTAGGAATGATAAACCTCTACAGAGGATTGTGCAGCTCTCCATCTGCCATTTCCGTCTTCGACTTCCAAGGCATGGAGATGCTACAGGAAGGTTTTAGTGTTGTCTTTTTTGACTGAAATGCAATTTTGCTGTTTACACTTGGGTCATGTAACCAGGCTTTTCTTTGCTCGGTACCTTTCCTTGTATTTGCTTCTGTTTCCTATTGCATTTAAGGGCTCCAGAGGCAGACGGCCAAGATCAGTGGATGGGAACATTCAAGTTAGTGCTTTGTTTGATTCATGGCCATGACATTTTATCATCAGCCAGGCTTATATGAACGTGAGGTATTCCCAGTGCTCGGGAAAGTTGGATTTGCTGCCTTTGGGAATGGAGCACCACTCTGAGGAAAGCAGGGAAGAAGAGGTCCCCTCTGAATAGGCTAGGTTTTAAGCTAGAGAAATGAGGTGACATGAAACTAGGCTCAGCTGCTCCAATTTATTTCAAAAAGGCAAAGCAGAGGGGACAACAAGAATTTTAGTCACTTCTAAAATGGGGCAGACATGAACTAATAAGGTATAAATCTAAAAAATTCTTATATCTCCCTAAATAGCAACTTCCTAGTGACTAAGGTTTTATTTATCTTCCTTATCTCTCTGATAGCACCTATGAACACCTACAAAGTGCTGCCCAGATGTCACTGTAATGCAGTATAAAGTACAGAAAAATGCAGAGTTTGGATATTTTGGATGTCAATGCCAAGTAAATAGAAGGTTATGGAAGGACTTTTTTGAAAGTAAGGGATTCATAATACTCTTGTGAGTTAGGGTTAGTAATTACTGTGTGCCTGCTATACATAGGAAAGCTAATATATAKAGAGAGAATTAAGCAACAAGTTGGTATTCCAAAGTGGCATGTGTTCGAACAGAATTTGTGGCAAAAAGCAACAGACCCAAACCCCCTAAGGAAGTCACTGAATTTTAATTTTAGATAAAAACGGTAACTTTCTAGGAAACCTGAGGAAGCTCTATCAGTCAAAAGGTTTCTAAATAAATTTTAAGTGTCATTATGGCAACAGAGTTTGAGAAACATTAAGTTTTTCATTGAAAATAGTTATGTGGGGTCTCTGCATTTTCCCTTTCTTTCAAGAAACAGTTAAATTAAAAAAAAAAAAAAAAAGGAACAGTTCTGACAATATGCGTGTGTTTTCAAAGAAGTTTATTTCATTTAGCTACATTAATTTGATTCATCTAAAACAGAAACTCTAAAACTCAGCACCGTGGAGAAAGGCAACCGTTGACAGTGAACAAGATAGTAAACGAAGGGAATTCTTTTAATTGTTTTACAACCATGACCATCTCAGTAGAAGTTTTCAGAACATGGCTCTTTTTACTTATTTGTAAAGGACGTAGYGTACTGTAGATGTTATAATAATATTACTTTTCCATAGATCGTTGCTGGATACTCTGTGTTTCATGAGTCATGCTGTAGCAACCTGCATGCATCCCAATAATGCTCTTCTCTTGTTCTCAGCTATAATAAAACCAGGTCTAGAGAAGCAAAGCCCCGCTTATGTCTTAAAGAATATTGAAATATAGTCTAAGATGCTAGAAAATAGGTAGAATATATAGCTGGATGCAGGTTCTCTACTGTCCCCTAAATAGTGGCTTTGTCATTCTTTTATTCCCTAAAATACTTTGAGTCATCTGGGTGGCAGTATTTTAACTTCTCTAATTAGACAGAACAGCAAAAATCCTTAAATATCTGTATGCAACTCCACATAGCCAGGGTGAATGGCAAAGGTTTGGGCTACGGCACCTTGTTGGGGGAAAACAGCACCTATTTGCACTTTTTTTTGCACTCAACTCTTGGCGCTTCCGAAACGATTGCTGAGCAAACGACAGCCTGATGTGCTTGTTGTGCTCGTAGAAACGAGGCTAACATGAATGAGCCATCTGTAACCCTAGCTGCGAGGCCCCCAAGTTCAACTGCAAATGCTGGAATTAACTCCATAGACAGCTAGAAAATGACAGTACTGAAATCCAGGCTTATTGCATAATTAGCTAAACAATATTTCAGCTAAGCATCTTACGGAGCTATAAGGCGGGCGTATCTGTAGTAATTATATTTTACATCACTGATGCGGCACGTTAATGAAATGTGTCACTTCGGTAGTATTAGGATACATTTCATTAATGCAAAACACTTTTGTTGCATGCTTTACATTTGGAAACAGATTTAAGTATTAAGTGGCTAATGTCTGCAGCCAGGGAATCCTTTCCGAATTTGTAACACTGACCAGAACAGACCGCATTACACTCTCCAAATGGTGCATTTTTGCATTTGAATGTCTGAATTATCCTGGTTTCTTAGAGACGACCACAACACCAACATCTTAAATCCTCAAAATATTGTCCGCTTCATTGAATGCTCGTGATCTAAGCATATGTGTAATTATTCTGTAATTCTCCCCAAAATGTGATTCCTTGGAAATGCATACTAGCTTTCCCCTATTGTAGCTGCAATGACTATTTCTTTGTGCCCCTTTCTTTAAATACGGTCACAAGGAAGGCTGTGTGCCTTGGTGCACCGCATATGTAATGATGATTTTTCCCCCGCCACTCTCAGGACGCCCATCGGGAGGAGAAAAACAAAACCCAAAACTGCTCCGTTTGTTGCAGGGAACAGCTTGAGGTCACAAAAAGACCCCTTAAGATAATATACATACAACCATGATCTCTCTTACAAGAAATAAGCCTAGTGCTGCATACAGTGCACTTACTTATTGCTGAGGGAAGTCCATGGCATGAGAATTTGCACAAGCTACCAGGCCTGGTTGTGATAATGGATGCATGTGGAAGCTCTGGAAGGAGATAAAGGGGACTCCTCTATATACCAAAAGCAGATATGACATCTATAATGCAACAGTGAAGACTTTTTTTTTTTTTTCCAGAAATTACCACTAATGCACCAGCATAAAATACATAAACTCTACCAAAAATGGGAACATTCATTCCATTCTTTTTTTTTTTTTAAATAATTGTTTCTGTAACGCCAAGAACACCTTATATAATTTAAGTTGAAATCTCTCTTGCTCTCCACTCACCAAGTTCTCACGCAATATATGCCAGGCACTGGAGGGCTGGATCTGAGAGCGCGTAGCAGTGATTTGTGGTTCAGAGATGTCTTTATCAGACTCGAGTGCTGTGGAAGCTGTGGGGTTATACCCAAGTTGTGTGCGAGGCTTCAATTCCCAGGCTCTTGCCATACTTTCTCTTAGCTTATTTCCCTATCTMGATCTTTAATATTTATTGAGGAAATTTGATAACCATTTTGTTTTAACGGAGGTGGACTCCATCAAATTCAGGCGTGTATGAAATAATAGTCCTTAAATAAAATTGTACAGATTTAAAATTAATTGCATATTTTCTGAGGCTGTTTTACACTTAAATGTTCCTTGACAAATTTCTCCCACTTTTTTTTTTTTTTTTTTTTTAATAATATGAGAACTGGGCCTTTTTCAGGAAGAATTATTAAGGTTATTCAGGTACAGTGAATTGTTTCAGTTAAAGAAGGTCTTCAAAGGTGTATGGCTTTATGGAGTGAAATTAGAGGCCTTTGTTGAGAATAGTTTATAAAACAATATTTACAGAACATTTTAAAATAATAGTGAGATCCTAAGATTCTTTAGGAATCTTGTTGTTAAAATCTTATTAAAAGCTTATTAAAGATTTTATTAAAACTATTATAATTGTATGAAAATCGCCAGATTTTAAAACTCATGGTGAGATATTTCAGGAATCTCCCCTCTTATTGTGCAAAATCTTCTGCAGTGAGAAAAGTAGAGAGACTTTCAGTATAATTTTTACTTTCAGGCAAAAAAAAAAGCACAAAAGTAAGAGTTTGAGGAACAAGTGTAGCCATTTCGGATACAGAATAATTCTCAGCAAGTGTTGCAATGTTTGCTTGCTTCCACGAATCCATCCTATATTAATATATATAATAATGAGCACCTTTGTTTTGATTTCTCTGGCGAAACTGCTCTCAGCTCCCTGCTGAATGAGTGACTAGATTGAGAGCTGAATCCGTAGGAAATATTWGCAATGTGCAAGTGAGAACGTGTTTCACACTTTTTTTCCAGAGATATAAATACACAAATAAATATGTGAAAAGACAGGGTAAAAAATTATTTTTGAGGACTAGATTTGTTTTTATTAAAACACAAAGTAGTGAAAAGTGACTTTCGTTTGGACTGCACACTTCTATATTGCTGCAACAATATTCCTCCTCTTGCATTTTCCCCTTTATCATTTGCAGTGATTTTTGCCTAACGCCTTGAAATGTCCTCTGAATTGTAATGCCCTGGATTACTGCAGAAGGTATTTATAAATAAACATTTGGCAGAGATTCTTTGATACTGTGTGAACTTTTGTTGCAAACGTTTTAATGATGCTAGCCTTGTTTTAAAAGGAAAAAAAAGAAGTTGATTGTAAATCAGTAAAATGTGCTGGGCTTTCTAAGCTCCGCGTTGGCAACAGCTTGTTGAGAGTAAATCCTCTCACGGAAGGTTTTGCTAATCTGAATAAATTCAATTTCAAAATCCTTCCTTGATCTAAGCTTGCTTAAGCTCTCACCAAGGCCTAAGGACCCTGAGGGTCAACTCCAATAACAAAAGATAAGAAAAACCTGCCCTTTCTCATATCTCTCTGCAATACACTATAAGCTGTTACCTCACTGCAAAAAATCTTTAGGTTTAATGAAGTCGCCTTTGGATAGGCTTTAAGGCTGAAGTTCAATGTTTCCCACCCTGCTGCTGYGCACGCCACCCAGAACCGGTGCCTCAGGGCCTGACCAGCTCCGTTCCTGGGACAACTTGTGCCCAGGAAAGGGGAACGCTCAAAAATCAGTCAACTGAACGGAACAGAGTTGGGCTGTTTTTCTTCCATGTAGTKGTCTGCTTCACCTTCCTTTTAGCTCAGGCGTTTTGTTTAGCTTAAGGGCCCGTTTCATTGCTCAAATAGGGTAAGCAATGCAAAAACCRCAGAAACTTTAGCTTTTGAATAACATGAGCTACTCAGCTTGTAAAAAAGGAAGGGAAAAAAAAAGATTGTAATAAACATATTTATCATTTCTACCTACAGAGCTCCTTGAGCAGAAGGATTTTGTGAAAGTTAAACCTTTGTTTTGGCTTGCATTCATCCTGGTGGGACCCTGCCCTCTTCGTCCATGCTGGCCCAGGGCCGAGGCCAGCTAAAAGAAATGGAGAAAATCCTAGAATTTCTGGAGGGTATAAAATCAAATTTCCTTTTTTTTTTTTTTTTCTTTTTTTGGCTGGATGTTGAAGGAATAACTGTAGAGAATCAAAATGTCAATGTGGGCTGCTGCACCTGAGATGACTATTTTTGCATTGCTGTTCTTTGAAAATAGTGTCCTCTGTTTTCACAAGACCACATCACCTGGTGGTGAGGCTTTGGCTGTGCTTGTTGGCAGGGGTTGATGTTATAGCAGGGGGCACTCCCGATTTCAAAATTTTTCAGTATTTAAAAAAAATGCATATTTGTCTATCATTTACTTCACCAAATTTATGGAGAGAAGTATTTTATGCAAGAAATATTTTATGCAAAAGAGAAGTCACCCTACAGATAGAAAGCAGCCTGTTTAGAAAGAATCCCTTGTGCTAAGTACAAAAATATATTACTTTATAATAGTGCACGACTTACGAACACATCGGGTRGGCTGTTACGCTAACCTGCTTCACTGATACAGTAATTCAAAATACACTAATATAGTGCACTATAGTGATATATTAGATATATCATGAGCTTATCTAATGTATGTTTATCAAGTTCCCAGAGTTGTCTTACAAATTGTTGTAAATAACTTGTCATGYGTAACAAAAATAAAGATTTCAATGGGAAGGACTTCGAAAACAATTTGATTGGTGGTGGTGCATGTAATGCATCTAGTATTATTATTTTTATTTCAGCCCCCATTCCCACCTCCTCAGGTTTTGGTAATATTTGTTTTAAGATTCAYAGATCATCCCTGTCATTGCAGAAGGTGCTTCACCTTATTTACGCACTTGCTGTTTTTATTAGTTAATTTAGGATTTCATATTAAGCTTTTTTCTT